TTAACACGAAAAAAAGAGATTAGTAAACAAACCACAAAATATTATTTAAGAGAAAATTCACCTGAATGAGGAATGATAAATGGAAATAGTTCTAGATTATAATCCACCAAACGAATCAGTATAAGGAAATCAAAAACGAGAAGGAATTCAGAAAAAGGAAAATCTATGGTTAAACAAAAATGCAAAAAGGAAAACTCCATCAACATTGCGAAATACTATTTCCTTTTTGGACAAGTAATAAATAATCTGACTTGTGTTGCAAATAGGAAAAACAAAAACCTCAAACTTGTATAAATATACTCATCGATCAAACACTCTCTTCATTCTCCAAAATCATACAACTTTCCGAATCCGAGAGTAATTATTAAATCTGTAGAATGGCCAACAACGATAATCACTTCTCAATGTCGACGATGCTCGATGCTTTACCAAGACTCTGTTTACCCGCAAGAGAATCCATCACAAAGGAGACTCCAGCGATTCCTCCTCCTCCTCCTTCATGTGGCGTCTCCGCCACCGTTCCTCCTCCGGGATTCACCCTACCACCAAGAGAAGAAACCAACGTAACTAAACAGAACCAACCTCAAATCCATTCATGCCCTTGCGCTTTATGCGCTGCCTCTAATCGTCAAGTGCGATGGATGTTCGACTTCATGACTAATACCGAACAAGATTTGGCTCAGTTTAAAGAGATGGTCTCGAAGCTAAACAGAACCGAGCTTCAGAGGATGGCGTCTTTGATGACGTCAGATTCCGACTACTTCTGGGACATCGCAAGAAACGAGCACGGATCCAAACGCATGCAGAGTCTCCTCGGAAAATCAGACGACGTGGACGCCTTATTCTGCGCCGCTATCTTGCGTATTTTCCTCTCCGTCATGTCCGATAAGAACGCCTCCTACGTGGCGGTGCGTGCCATGAGAGTTTTCGATGGTCAGAAGAAAGAGTCCATGTGCGAGCTCATTCTCCACTTCGCGCTTTACCTGGCGAGTGACCAACACGGCTGCGTCGCGCTCAACGAGATCATAACTGACTTGGACCATCCTTACTACAGAAACCAGCTCCTTGGTGTAGTCGCGCAGAACGCTCTCTTCCTAAGCTACGATCCTTATGGGAACTTTGTGATCCAATACGTCCTTAGACTGAATGACTTGCGTTGCACGCAATACATTGCGGTTAAACTCCGTGGCTACTATGTTGACCTCTCGCATCGGAAACACGGAAGCTTCATTGTGGAGCGGCTCTTGGAGGCGGAGGAGTCAGTGGTTGTGGTAGTTGAGGAGCTTTTGGAGTGCGAAAACGGCGTGTTGGTGAGGCTGGCGAGGAGTGACTACGGGAATTTCGTGGTGTGCAAGGCATTGGAAGTCACCAAGAAGGAGAAAGTTAGTGCTAATTTGTTTCGGGGTTTGGTTCATAAGCTCAAGCCTTTTCTCCCTCTCTTGCGTAAGTCTCGTGGAAGCAACATTGCAGCGATCTTGGAGTCAGTTTGTTAGCTTGTCTCAAACTAGTTAATTCTAGTTCGATTAGTACAATAATGCTCAAAGTGTTCTATGGTTGAGTACTTTAGTGAAGTCTAGTAGAAGAAGTTTGTCAATTAATTTTTAAATAATGATCTAAATTCGATTTAAACAAACAAATATTGCAGCCTTAAGTTCGATCTTTTGAATAATGTTTTTTTTTTAAACGAATCTACAAACTCTATTTCTTTCTGATCAAATCTCAAACATATGTGCTAATTAGTAGACGAAAAGAAAACAATCAAGAAACACGAAATTCTGGATTCAATGCATAACTCAGCATCACAATCATATTACTTACATAACCAATATCCAAAAGACAAAATATTAGAGTATCCGGTTTACTTAACCAATGTAAATATATTAGATTAAGGAAAAGGAGCAAAAAAAGATCTGCAGAAAGCTATAAGGTGTGTTACATCAAATTCTCCTTAATACCTCTCTCCAAACCGGAGGGACAAAGAACCGGTCCCACAATTGTGATCTACAGCATATTCAGCTCGTACCGAACCGAGTTTCACACCCACACTTGTGAAATAATTGAAAATAACAAATACGGAGAAGCATTTTTGGATTAGTTTATTTAACTTTTATATATTAAAAGAAAAACATTTTTGGATTAGTTTGTTTAGGAGTCAAATTCTCATTTTTTTTGAAGTTGTTAATTAAAAATTAAATTCTATTATTAATTCTCTACTATACTACTCAAACACTCTTCAATCCTATTAATTATCTACTATCATATTATCCAAACACTACACTATCACACAATCCTTCCAACCAAACATCATTAGAATTTTTTTTTATTTGTTTTTTAAAAACGAAAATAAAAAAGTTTACTATAAATATTCACTTACTCTTATAATTACCTTAAAATTATAAAATTTAATTCATATATATTTGCAATATTTTATTTTGTATATTTGAGTCATAAACCATATTTTTGAAGATTATGATATTAAACAAATACATTTTATTAATAAGTGATATATATTGATTAAGAACTAAAAATTTGTTATTTTCAATTATTTCACGAGTGGGATACATTTCTAATTTTCTATACAAAATATTTGCAAAATTCATATATATAAACGAATTTTAGATTTCATATAATAATTTTTCTAATAACTATAGATGATTTTTAAAACTAAAACTATAGTGATTTTACTAGCGTATCACATTGTCCCGCGTATAACGCGGGTAACTATCTAGTGTGAATTATATATTAAGCTTAGATATTTACCACACAAAAAAGAGATTAATAAAAAAAGACTACTATTTAGGAGATAAAAAAGTAATTTACCTGAGTGATAAATGGAAATAGTTCAATATAACGAATCAATTAATCTGGATATCAAAAAAGTGGAAAGTTATTTTGATTTATGGAAAAAAAAAGAGGAAAATCTATGGAAAAAGGAAAACTCTCAACGATGCGAAATACAGTTGGTGTTGCAAATAGGAAAACAAGAACCTTATAAATTACGCATCGGTCAAACACTCTTCTCATTCTCCCAAACCACACAAGTTAGTTTCCCCCAGATAGTAAATTCTTATTTCCCTAGTATCAACAACAACGATCTCTTTTTAATGTCGACGATGAGTTTAGAATCAAAACTCAAAAAACTCTCGGATCTGGTGCTGGTTGTATCGCTCGTTTCGAACACGCCGAACGTGTTGGTGTGGAAGCTCCGGTCTACTTAGCCGCCGTTCTCGAATACCTCGCCGCCGAAGTTTTGGAAGTGGCTGGAAACGTAGCGAGAGATGACAAGAAGACTAGGATTGAGCCGAGGCATCTTTCTCTTGCGATGATCAACGTTGGAGAATTGTGCGAATTAGTCGCAACGATGCCGCACAGTCATCATCTTTTTAATCCTAAGAAGACTAGCATTGTGCCGAGGCATCTTATTGAACGTGCGGAGAGGGACGAAGCATTGAGCAAATTATTTCGAGATGTGACGATTGCTAATGATGTCCAACATTCACAATCTTCTTCGTCTTCCTAATTAAGAAACCATCTGGTGATGATGATTACAGCTCAACCCAAATTTTCTATTCCATGTTGTTTCTTTTGAGGCAATTTTAAAGATTTAGTTTTGGTTTTGGTTTTGGTGAAGAATCTCTATCTTTCTCGCTCTCGTTAACGCGTTCAATTGTATTGTAAGAACCAACCTCAAATCCATTCATGCCCTTGCGGTTTTATGTGCCGCATATAGTCGGCAAGAACTCGTTTATCGATGTTCGACTTAATGACTAATACAAAACAAGATTTGGCTCAGTTTATAGAGACCATCCATCCAGAAGCTAGACAGAACCGAGCTTCAAAGGATATGATGTATTCGATGACGTCAGATTCCGATTACTTCTTGGACATCGCTAGAAACGCGCACGGAAACCCCTATGGCAACTTTTTGATCCTTAAACTGAATGACTTGTGTTGCACACACGACATCGCGGCTACACTCAAAGGCCACTGTGTGGGGGCTACATAGAGGAGCGGCTTTTGGAGAAGGAGGAGTATATGTTTGTGGTGGTTGAGAAGCTTTTGGAGTGCGAGAATGACGGGTTGGTGAGGCTGGCGAGGAGTGACTATGGGAATTTCGTGATGTGCAAGGAACTATAAGATTAGGGCTTATTTGTTTTGGGGTTTGGTACATAAGCTCACACCTTTTCACCCTCTCTTGCGTAAGTCTCAAACTAGTTAATGCTTGCTGGTTAGTACCTCAAAAGTGTTGGATTTTATGGTTCGATATTAGTACAACACTAGTAGTGCTCAAAGTGTTCAATTTATAAACTCTTTTTCTTTCTGATCAAATCTCAAACATATATGTTCTATTATACAGAGACGAGTAGCCACTAAGAAACAATTAGCAAATACGAGATTCTGGATTCATTGCATACCTGGGCATAACAATCAAATTATTACATAACCAAATTTCTAAAAGACAAATATTAGATTACCAAAACCATATGTAAATCTTAGATTAAAAATCTGCAGAAAGCTCAAGGTGTGTTATCTCAACTTGTCCTTAATACCTCTCTCCAAACCGGAAGGACAGAGAACCGGTTCCACAATTGTGATCTACAGCATATTCAGCTCGTACCGAACCGAGTTTCACACCCACACCGTACGATGAACCATGTCCCATTCTCCTGTAAACCGCTGTCGGATTCCCTTTCACATCCTTTGAGCTTCCCAAATCAGTTCCATGCTCAGCAAATGCATACAATTGTGCTTTCTTCACAGGTACTCTAATCTCAGCACCAACCTTATAAAGTTATATCAACAACAAAAAACACCATCAGAATTTAGTCAAGGGATGAGTTTTGTTAACATTACTAGTATAGTTACCTCGAGAATGTTTCTAGCTGCACCGAGCTCACCCATGGTATAGCCTCGCACAGAGTTAGGTCCACCAAGAGCAAAAGCATGATAGCTTGGAAGATCGCCTACGAAGCCACCGTAATGGCCATTGAGGACTAGAACAGGTGGTTGTGGCTTACCGGGTCCTTCTTCTACTTTCTTCAGCGGAATGAATTTTGTTAAAGTTAGCTGGTGGCGGTTGAAGAGCGGGGATTTGCTTCCTATACCCAAGCCTTGATCCACCTGCGATTTGTATATATATTATTGCAGTGTGTGTTTAAACAAGTTCCAAATTTATAAATCAAATAATGAGGGATTTATACAACACCTGAAAGATATTCATGTCTCCAACAGTAGTTCCATTCACAGACTTGGTGTTGTCTCGTGTTATGTTGGCTTGTAGAAAGGCTAAGTGATCAGTACCGGTACCACTTAGAGTTGTTGGAGGTCCATCAACACTGGTTCCTCCATTAGGCAACAACCTCAGCCCATTTGCAGAGATTCGACCGTGCTCATCTCTGGTTTTTATCTCTTCTAGCACAAGTCCATATGTGAACTTACTTTGAGGCGTGAAGTTCTACACCCAAAAAACAAAAAACAGAGTTTATTAAGATGCTCGTGTGAGGAGAAGACAAGCTGGCCGTATTGGGGATTTACTTGCTTACCTCAGTAATATTAGCTTTCATACCAACTCGATCCACAACCATTGGAGGCACTACTTCCTCAAAGCCTGGTCCTCCAGTGAACACTGGGCTAAGTTTACTGCTGTTGAAGATACTCGTTTTGAAAGTACGGTTTCTTGGATCTTCAACACCGTCCAGATATGGTTGTTCATACTCAAGCCTAAACGAAAGATCATCCTGAGAGAAAACCAAGTGGACGCGTGGCATCAAACTATAGGTTGATTTCGAGATCTTTAAGAAGCGTATAGAAACCGAACGTACCTCAGGATTCAAGAAGTTGTTAGAGGTCAATGAACCCGTGAGACTCCGATTAAGACCCTTGATGTTTCGATGCTCAAAAGAAACAGACCCGCCTGGCAGTAACGAAGCCTAACCAATGTCGTAACAAATTCAGTGAATTTCAAAAAGCTTAGAAAGTTTCAAAGTTTTACTAGACAATGAACATTACACTTAGCATACCAGTTTAGGCCATAATCCGCTCCCAGGGACGATTTTCCAATTTGTATCGAATTCGGCTGATTTCTGATCTGCCTCCGTAAGATTGATCTCGACAATAAGACCTCCTTCATGTTTCTCATCCGGACGTGGATTCGATGTCAGAGAACAAGCCTAAGGAGTGAATGTTCTTCACAGCTTGGCTCGCAGCTTTCATGTTGAGCACATTACCTGGACGGAGCTGTAGACAAAACAAACACAAGATACTATCACAAGTTAGACAACAAATACATTCGTTAAACTTATAACAAGTTCTTGACTTCAAAGTCAAGATCCAGTGAATACAACATTAATTATTACCTGTTTGGGAATTTCCTTGTGCACAACAGGAATCTGTGTGTGACCTTCAACAACATTACCAAGCTTATCACGAAACTTAACATCCAAACGTGTAATGTCTCCTTCAACAACTTCACATACAAGTTCCTTACTGTTCAAGTTCCTGTAATTCACAACATTAGCAAACTTATACCCTTGGTCATGGTACCATTTCACAACTCTCTCCGAAACCCTCTGCAAAACCCTCCCACTTAATTTCTTTTCGTCTCTTAGCATAAGCATCATCTCTCGTTGAATCGGTCCAGAGAGCAAACAAGGCCTTGCCTTTTCAATCATCTTCTTGTAATCCTTGTCCTGGCTCCTCAAATACTCCAACATTTCTTTATCAGTCATGTCTGAATCAACCGGTACAGGCTTCGGTTGTGTCATAAGCCCTACGTTGATACATTTGAATCTCTCCGCTGGTTTCCAAATGGTCTCCGCGAAGGCGATTGTAACACCTAGGGTTCCGTCAGGCTTCGTCTTACCTACGAAATCGAGTTAATCGAACATTCCAGAAGTAGCTAAGGTTTCTAGCTCTTTTTGCAATTGGGATTTTGTGTAGATCTCGCCTGGCTTAATCGATACCATATCGAAGAAAGAATCAACCTCTGTGTCTACGGTGGTTTGTCCCCGTCGATCGAAGAAGTCAAGATCGGAGATTTTGTACTTTTTGGAACCACTAAGCTTGTTTAGCTGTACCGCAATGTTCGCCGGTAATCCGTGAGAATCCCAATCCGGTGAATGTTCTTCGTCGGCGATTGCTACTGGGAATGCAAAAGAAAACAACTTCCTCCAAAACCCACCACCGCCTCCTCCGAAGCCACCGAAATTC